ATAATATCAAACGGAGTCATAAAGTTTTCTGTCAGACTATCAGTGTACATGTATACATTAAAAAATAAATGTATTTTTCATTATCATATACTGTGTTTTTGTCGCTCGAATGAATTCTATTATTTCTTTAAGGTTCTTCACATACGTATACCTTAAGAGATATCAAGTAGGCGTAACATGTTCTCAAAAAATTAGGGTTGGCACGCAGAAGAATTTTGAGTGAGAGATTTTGCTGGTTTTGGCACGCACTCACAAAAAGGTTGCCCACCCCTGCCCTATAGACTCCCTGCTCTTAGTGTGGCCTGGGACTAAAGTTTTCCTCCAGGGCAGTGTGAGAGGAAGTGACTCCTACCTGTACTCCTCTATGCTCCATTGTCCTTCCAGCTCACTGGGACCATGACCTCTAACAAGACCTTGGGAGTGAAGGGTGGGAGGAAGAGTGACTGCCAGCCCGGTTCCCTTCATGGCGAAGTGAAAGAGAGACACCCTACCCGCCCTGTCGCTTGCTGCAAGTGTGCTTCATTAGCACATGGTCCACTGGTGTCTGCAGATCCTGCAGTTAAATGGTTCATGTGTGCCTCAGTTTCCTCATCTGTAATATGGAGACAAAATTCTTACTTCACAGGGTTTTTGAACAAGTAATATGAAATAATGAACGATGACCACCCATTGTAGTGCCTCACATGCAACAGATGCTTAAGAAATCTTGTTCTTTGAGGGCTGTTGTGATATTTCAATGAAATAATCATTTTGAAAAGAGACAGTGACATAGAAAAGCTAGTTGACAGAAGTGAGAAGCAGCCCCTATATCCCTCTCATTCTAAGACGCTGCAACAATTTGTGCAACTGGTCCCTTGCCCAGGGTAATGGAAGCAGGCTGTTGTAGACATACTGGAATCCATAATAATGAAGAATGACATTCGTTTAATTTTAAACCCCTCCTCAGTGTCTCCCCCAACCCCTAAGCCAACCGATGACCTAGGAAACCAGTGGACAGGAACTTGTTGTCGCTGGGACTGGTGTTTAAACAAAGCAGCAGGACTGCAGGGAGGGCTGTATGAGGAGATGCTTTCACACTGTGGGTGTTTAACAAAGACGGCCACAGGGGTGAGTTATTTAGGTGATCTTTGAGATCCTGTCCAGCTCCAAGTTCTGTGATCCTCAAGAAAATAAACAGAATTTTAGTTTCATCTTCTCTTGACTCCTGTGCCTCCCCAGTCTCTTACCTGGGGAAGCACAAATCAGAAGGAAAATTCCACCAAAAGCACAAAATAAGGAGAAAGTGATGAAACCACGGGTGTCCAGTCTATGAAAAATTCATAGCCTGTTATTAGGGAAGAAAAGCAGGTCATGTTGATATGTAAGCAACATATGCTTTTAGTAATACTCTCTTTTTGCCTTTTGGTTGGAGTATAAGTCCATCATCTTTGTACAGATTCGTATGGATTTTCTTTCTCTTTTAAATGCAGCATCTTTTCTTCAAAGGACTTCAGACATCATTAAAGAATAAGCTGCGGAATCAGATAGATCTGGATTTGAACCTTGGGTGAGTTAGTTACTATCTTGATGATGTTTCCTTATTGTAAAATTGGGGCTTACTATGTACCTGATAAGGTTGTCTTGAGAATAGTAGAGATCATTCATGCAAAGGGGGTGGCATGTAATAAACGCTCAAATCCGCCTGGCTCCTTCCCTCCCTTCCCCCTGCTAAACTGCAGAAGGGCCGGCCGGCCTGTGGGGCTGCACTCCCTGCTGGAGGCTGGGACATCCGCACCACCTGTGACTCCTGCAGGGGACTCAGATGGGTGAATGGGCAGCCGCAGGGCTTCCTTCTGCCAAAAAAGAAAGACGGCTGATTCTGAAAAAGCCTAGGTTAGGTCTGCAGAGTACGGGGACATCAAGAGGAGACGGAGGTTCTGAGGAAGCTATTTTTAAGTGGCTTCCTGCCGAGAGACGAGCTTCCAGGGCAGGGTTAGTTCAGCCCATTGCAGCTTTCCACCTGAGCCGGGCGCCTCCTGGCACGCATCCCCATCTGCTGGTCCAAAACGAAAGACTCCTGCCTCAGGGGCACAGCTGGCATCACCTGCCTTTTCTTCAGAGCAGCATGCGGAGGCCCAGGTCAGCACTGAGATCTGGGGGGGAGGAAGAGGAAGCTTCTGGAACTGAAGAGAAATGCAGCTTCCTATTAAAAAGGGGGATGTTATTTTTAGTCTCAGCATGAGCTGCTTAGTTGTTCCTCCTGAAGTCAGCTTCTCTTTAAAGTGACCTTCTGGTGGGGGCACTGCCAGGTTAGAGACCTGGAGAGTGGCAACAATCCACTCTGCACCCAGGGCTTACAACATCAGCCATTACTTCATTTACTCATGATCTGCCATGTGGGTAGGGCTCGGGCGGGGCTGAGCAGCCTGACTCGACTCGGGCAAGGTCAGCTGAGGTAGCTTGAAGGCTAGTCAGGTGTGACTCAATGGCTGGAGGCTGGAATCATCTTACTTCTTCCCCGCCTCACACATCTGCGGGTTGAATTTGGCGCTGGTTGTGGCCTCAGTGAAGGCTGTTGGCTGACAGTTCCATGTGGCCACACGGCTCCCTCAGAGCATGGTAACTGGGTTCCAAGAGGGAGTGACTTGGGGGGGACGAGGCAGAAGTTGCGTTGCATTTTCCAACCTGAGCTTGGAAATCACTTTTATTCTTGCCCCACGTCCTCCTGGGTTCACAGGGAGGGGTGGGCCTCCTCCCGTCAGTGGGAGGAGTGTCAGCGTTGTACTGTGAGTCAGGAGGCCGCATTCTGGCCAGATGGGAAGGGACGACCTGACACACGGAGGAGCTATGGGGGAGTGGAGGCATGGGTTTGTTGGAGAATTAAAGTCAGATCTATTTCTTTTTTTTAATTTAAAGATACAACTTTCAAAAACTGGAATAATTAATTGGGATGTATGGAGAAATGGCAGCGTAATAGAAAATAGAATTTTTTAAAAATTCACTCATTTGGGACACACTGTAAAATGAACTTTTTTACACCATTGAATAGTCTTGCTTAGAAAGGCCTTCTCTGTTTCAAGGTTATTTGTCCATTTTTTTTAGTATTTCTAGTATTTTTATTTTAATTTTTTAAATATATCTTTATTGATTTCAGAGAGGAAGGGAGAGGGATAAAGAGTTAGCATCATCGATGAGAGAGAAACATCAATCAGCTGCCTCCTGCACACCCCCCACCGGGAATGTGCCCACAACCAAGGTACATGCCCTTGACCGGAATCGAACCCGGGACCCCTCAGTCTGAAGGCTGACGCTCCATCCATTGAGCCAAACCGGCGAGGGCAGTTTCTAGTATTTTTATGGTTTAATTTCTGATAGACTTGGAAATTATTTTGATGAAAGGAGGAACACTGGAGTTCAGATGGATTTTTTCCCCAAACAATTTATGTGTGGAACATCCACTTACTGATTAATCATCTTTTCCTCATTGATTTGACATTTTACTTTATCATATACTAAATTCCTATATATTTTGGGGTCTACTTTTGGACTCAATTATTTTTAAAAAAAATATATTTTATTGATTTTTTACAGAGAGGAAGGGAGAGGGATAGTTAGAAACATCGATCAGCTGCCTCCTGCACACCTCCCACTGGGGATGTGCCCACAACCAAGGTACATGCCCTTGACCGGAATCGAACCTGGGACCTTTCAGTCCACAGGCCGACGCTCTATCCCCTGAGCCAAACCAGCTAGGGTTGGACTCAGTTATTTTAATCCACTTTCTAATCCTACCAAGATAATTCTCCAACCCATGAGCTCTGGAGCGAAGCGGACCTGGGTGTGAACTCCGAAGCAGCTTCACCATTGCCTACTCGAACTCCTGAAGCCTCAATTTCCTTGTCTGCAAACTGATAATTGCACATACCTCATTGGGGGGCTTTCACACATAAATGACTTCACATGCTGTGAACAATTGGTCAGCACTAGTTCCTGGCGTCTGTGCGGGTTGCGTTCCCTGGGAAGCCGGCTCAGATGGAGACCCACATGCAGGATGTTCATTTGGGAGTGCCCGGGGCTCTACCCTGTGGGAAGGAGGGGAACAAAAAGAGTACCGGGCAGAGGGCAGCCTTACACTGGGATGCAGACCCAAACAGCACCTCAGCCACCTGGAGGGAGCTCTGAGGTCCAACAGCCCTTCAACGGTGTCCTGGGTTGGACGGGCTTTCATGCACCACGTCAATCAGCGTCATATGGAACCGCCATGGAAGTGGGTGTGCCCTGTGTGACCTCTGCACAGCTGAGGCCGTCTGCCAAGTGTGCTCCCAGCGCCGGGCCGACTAGTCCCCTGTGAAAGAGGGATCTTGGTTGCACGTCCTGGTGGCCACCACGGCACCTCATTCACTTTTCATTTCTCCGCTCCCTCATTTCCAGTTCTTTGAGCGGAGAGCAGTGCAGCAGAGCGCCACGCTGGCAGGTTCCTTGTGCAAGACCCTCTGGGATGCTGCAATTCCAATCCTCTGTGCACCACGAAGGCATGAGAGCACCCTGGGATGTGAGGAGGAAGGGCTGGGCATGAGATGGAGGAAGGGAGGCGATACAGCCTAAATGGAACGAGCCAAGCAAGGATTTAACAAACCCAGAGCTTTCATTGCCAGTTAGCACACTCTTCTTTTGATAGCTTTGTTTATTTCTAGATCAAAATATCGACTCTCCAGGGGAACGTGAATGTGAAAACCAGGCTGTGCAATGGTCTTGTGGTTACAAGAACAGTATCTGTCTAGATCCAATAAGACGAGGCCATCCATTTGCTTTTCCTTTTATTATAAAAGTAAAATAAAAAATAGCATTTATAAATCCAACATTTTTTTCTTTTAAAGTATTTGATCTAAAAACATATTTACAATAGCAAAATGCAGAAAAGGGGAAAAATACCATTTTCAGCACTGATTATAACCATGTTTAAATATCGACACATCCCAGGTGCACGTTGTTTTTCAAATCACAGAGATAAACCCCATTAGAAAAAGCAGGAAGCATTTTTTAATTATATACTGACCCTCATTTCAAAATACCCCATTTAAAATATCCTTGATAAAATATTAAGAATTCTCTTAATTCTTAATCTGAAAGCACGACTGTGCCGTGGACAGCTAGGAAGAACACCGGGTGGGGACCGTTAGCCTTTCAGTGACAGCGGGCGCGCAGCAGAGGGGCAGCGGTGACGGCAGGGAAAGCAGCTGGTAAGGCGCCTCCCCTCCCCAGAGGCACCAGCCCCACCAAAGGCTGTGGCTGTGGCTGCTAGCTGCTACCTGCCAGTGAGCCGAACTGAAATTCTTTCAAGAACCATAAGAGGCAGCCAGGTTTCTTTCCGAGGCCTGGAGTCCAGTCCAGAACCACCCAGGCCGGCCGGTGTTCCTCGGAGCACCCCGGGACGCACTTCCCTTCCTTCCTTCGGCAAACCCAGTGGAATTGCAGAACTTTGGTTACAGGGTGTTGGAAGTTGCGAGGGCTAAATTTTGCCTTCGATAGGTCCTTCCTGCCCGTAATCGTGGGGCATTTTGTTAAGCGTGAGCAGTGAGCTGCCGCCGGTCAGAGAGTCTGTGAAGCTGAGTTTGCGGAAGGATGTCTCCACGCCGCTGTCACAGATGCTGTCATCTCGCAGCTCGTCTGAGGGGGGAAAGCAGGGAGTCAGTCACTAGGGCGCAGCTGGGAACCAGGCCAAGCCTTTCTTTTCATACCTTTCATTCCAGCCCCGCTCAAAGCTCCCACTGGAAAGGCATGTGGGCTATTTTTGCCCATTAGCTTCTACAAGTCACTACATTCCACCTACACCGACGGCCTGTCACTGCCCTTCAGTGGGGTGAGGGGCCAAAAGCACCCAGAGTAAGAGAAAAACTGTGAAGATACCAAAACTGTGAGGATACTAAAATGAGCCAAATGTTTTCACGTCTCCCTTACAACCTAGTCTCATGTTTGTCAGAATCCTTTTTGAATTCTCTTGACTCAACGTGTACCTTTCTTTCTTAGAAATCAGGTGTATTTTTCCAACCACTGTATTACCTATTTTATAGCTGAAGTAGGGGAAACTGCTGAAAGTAAATTGGTGAAAAAAGTAGGAACTAAAAATAAGAGGCCCTTTCTGGACCTCATATGCTATTAAGCACTATACACTGACTCAAAGAAATTTTGGTAGCAAAAAATAAAGTGATTTTGATGAAAACGAGTCTATACTGGACAATTAGGTCAAAATCTCCTTGTTGAGAAGTGTCTTTATGGATTTGAATGAACAATGTGAATTATTTCCTGTATAGAGAGAGTGATCAAAGGAACAGAAGTCTAATATACCCGAATCAAAATGCCATCTTATATATTAAATTCCAATATTAAACTGAAGACTCTAATGGTAGTGACATGGCTATTGTCTTGTTACCGATTGATTTATCCAAGCATCCAATCTTTATTGGGTTTCTCTTATGTGTTGGGAACTGTGAAGTATTTTAATAATAACTTCAAATCAAAGGCTTAATGCTTTTTAACATATAGCACCCACTCCTTTGTGTGGAAGGAAGATCAGGTCATAAGGCAGGAGACGTGGGTGGTTTTCCTGGTGGTTACATTATTCCCATCCCGACCTCCCTGGAAGGGCCCCTGACAAGGTGACACTGGTGCCAAAACTGAGTGGCAAGAAGGAGCAAGGCAAGGAGGCTCTTTGCAGGGAAGGGGAAGAGCAGGTTCCATGGCCCTAAGGCTGGGTGGGCTAGTGAGCCAGGTGAGAGCGGAAGGAAAACAGAGCTGCAGGCAGAGGGGTGGGGGGGAAGGGCAGAGGAAAGCCATGTGTAAAACAGAGAACGGATTAAGAAGGGACCTGCCTTTATTGCTCGAAGCCTCCAACAGTGCTGTGTGCAGTGGATTTGTTGAATAGATGAATGAATTGGAGAGTATACAACAGGAGTACCATAATCTCACTAAGGTTTTAAAAATAGGTTTCTATTGATTTTAGAGAGGAAGGGAGAGGGAGAGAGAAAAACACAGATGTGAGAGAGAAACAGCAACCAGTTGCCTCCTTCATGCCTCCTCCTAGGGATTAAGCCCCCAACCACGGCATGTGCCCTGGCGGGGAATCCAACCAGTGACCTTCTGGTCCATGGGACGAAGCTCAATCAATGGAGCCACACCGGCCAGGGCTCTCACTGATTTTCAAAACTTCCTGTTGTGTGAAGAATGGACTGAGGGAAACCGGAGACTGATCAGGAGCTGCTGCAGGAAAGGAGACAAGCAGTGACAGGGGACTGGACGAGGGTGGTGGTTGCAGAGAGGAAGAAACGAGATGGCTGGCTGTATGGAGGTTTGGACCAGGGCGCATTCATAGGAACGCTTAGGCTTTTGTCTGGACCTCCTGGAGTGTGGCAGTGATTCTGACTGACATGGCCAATACTCAGTTCAAGTGGGAACAACAGTCTCCTGTAAGTAAGGGCGAGTAAGGAGGGCCCAGGACTGGGCTCTGCAGGGCTGTGAGTTTCAAAGAAGTGTGCGGAGGAGGCACCAAGGTGTGTGTGCTGTGGGAAAGCCAAGAGGGGAGACTGTGAAGCAGGGAGGGAATGGCCAACTGGCATGTGTGCTGAGAGCAGTGGAGAAGACGAGAAGGATGGTGAGCAGGTGACCAGATGCTGGGCATCATGAGATGAGCAGACCTGGTGGAGGGGGGATGGGCCCTGACTACAGGGGTCAAGGGGAGGAGAGAAGGCGGAAAGAACACCCTGGGAAATTCTCTTGAGCAGTTCTGCTGTGTGGAGAGCAGAGGGATTGTAGGTAAAGGGGAAGTGGGATACAAGGAGTGCTTTTGTTTTATTTTGAAAAGATGAGGGGAACCACAGCATGCTTGCTAGGTGATCCAGTGGGAGGGAGAAACCAGGAGTGCAAGGGAAGGGATGTTGGGGGTTAGAAAGAAAAAGCATGAAATGGTTGCTTAGAAAGTGGGAGAACAAAGGGAAATACAGGACTGTTGGGCTGTGAGAGAGTCCATCATGTTATATGTTTTATGTGGCTGACAGATGGAGCCAAGAGCGATGGGAGACAAGGCCCATGTCCTGAGCGTGGGGGAGGCTGCGGGGCGGG